GTCATCCCGTTACCGACCGATTCCCCAGGGATTGCCGGAAAATACGGATCTCGGTGTGTGGCTGGCGACGATCGACAAATGCGCTGTTTACCTGCAGCAACACGAACGATCTCTGGATGGGCTGGAGTAAAGTATCCCCATCCGAGAATCCATTAAGTTGTTAATCATATGCGCAGCGCGGCTCCACCGAGGAGTACCCGGCACCCAGTGCCCAGTGTCCTTTTTGGGTGTCCTTTACGTTGACTGCCAGGCTGCCAGGCTGCCTGGCTGCCTTGGCTGGCTGCCACAATTAATATGCGTCCAGCGATCGTAATCAATTCTCGCCGTTCAGCGCGACGCATAGTCATCGTAGAACTCGTACCGCTGCCAGTCGGAACACGTGCGGGTCATTAGTCGCAGTCACGCAGTTTGAGTCGAGCCGGTGTCCGAGATGGAGTATGGAGTGGCCGTACATGCACCCCCACCACTGCCCATCCAGATCCCATGGCCCATACCATGCCATAACACCTCCGCGCGTCCACTCAAACAATCCACCGACATGGGCGACGGCGACGGCGACGGCGACTCCACCTCTGTGGCATGTCCGTTTCGTTGATTTTAGTAGGAAATGATTTTGTACGCTTCGTTCAACTTGGATTTCGTTTTCGGCTTTTGGCGCTCAGCTGCGAAATTTTATGAGTAGATGGAACTGAATACGGGCGGCATCTCTCGGCTCTGCCGGTCGGTTCTTTGTTTGGTTTACCTTAATGGGTTCTAATGAACCATGGCAACCGGCCGGTCGCCTATCAATGACTACTGATTCAGAGCCATCAGTGAGTAGAGGGAGGATCCGGAGGCGCAACCAAATTCGGCGGTCTTCCCCAGCTGCATTAAGGTAGTAGGCGAATTGAAATTGACATAAAATTAAGCACAAGAAAGCGAGAGTTCATTTAATGAACATCAAATGAAAAGATATCTTGGAATGGTTAAAGCACTGGCAAAACTTTGGATTAGCTGCCAAAAAGTAACATGTTCCTCAATTTTGTTATTCAAATCGAATGCATTAACCTACCAACATTAAAACACCTAATGAGTCCGCTGCAATCAATTTCCCCAGTCACGTGTGAGGAAACCTCGCAGCTAAAAGCAAACAATTTAGATCCCATAAAGTGCCCTGGTACACCCCTAGAACCGACCGTTCCCATCGATTAGTATTCCTTCCCAGTGCTGCGAGGACGAGGCAAGGATGTGGTCTATGGGGCACCAGTAGTGTGGCTTCCTTGCGCGTTTTCGTGATGGCAAAATGCCAGCAGTAAGCGGGCTTTTAACCTTTTTGGCCTGCAGGCAAAAGATTTCTTGTAGTTTCGATTAATGGATACTAATGCATTGCTAATACATTAGAGGGACTTGCGGGCCTCAAAATTGTTGGCACGTGCGAGGCAAATACCGACAAATTTGTTATGATAAATAAACAAACGGTGACACATATGGAAAAATATATATTTATTACTAATATCTGACAACAATTTATGCGGCCATTAACAGCGGCAATACAACGTGTTTATTTCAACATTCTGCCAAGCCATAAAAAGTATAAAAATATGTTGCCAAAGGGGAATGAAAATATAAAATAAATAAATATTAATATCTTGAAAATCAATCAAAATTCATGGCATGTCCGTTCGCTCGGCGCGTTCCGGTTGGACGAGTGCAAAATTCGCCCATAACCCATAAACTGTTCATAAATTCAAACACCCACGAAAAGTATTATTCACCCGAACAAAAGACATTCAACAATATGGCACTATGACTATCGATCGTCTGACCAGCAGATTTGTGTGGGCCTTCAGTGGGTCAGTTGTGGGTCTCCAAGAAAAGTGATAGTAATCGATCAAAAACTGGAGTGTTTCGCTGGCAAATGGGCGGAACTTCTGGTTAAAATGTCATTACCTGGCCAGCACATTTTATTTCAAATCGCAAATTGCATTTTCCCTGTTCTACATATAAAATATGCTAATGTATTTCCTCCGCTGCTGATATATTCAACAATTGGAGAGGAAGTACCGCAGCGGCCACCCCAATGCTTCTAGAACGTAAATTTATGCCACTAATAAAATGTAGGAAAATAAATTAGCGAAATTCCGGAAATTGTAACAAATTTACATTAGCACAAATGAAATTAGTAACGCCGCGTTGGCCGGGCTTCTATACTAAATTCATTGCTTCGTTGCGGTGGAAATGCGTCAAAATTCGTTTACTAATCAGAGCAGCATAACTTTCAACATAACTTTAAGCTGTATGGAAGAATTTGAGTTGCATATAAAATATTATTTTAAACGAAAACCAATTCCATGCCGTGTACACTTTTTATTACAATCTATTTTTAAAAACCTTTTCACTTTCTGCTGGGTGGGTGTGTGTTTAAACAGCTTTCCAGCATTGTTGACACAACATTGTTTGTTTGCTCACCTTGTGTACATTTTTGGTGACGAACTAGGAAGACCCCGAAACAGCAGCCATCGAATCAGAAGGTGTTATACAATAACTCATTAATATAATGTGACGCTGGACAGGCGGCCATTCATTTCCAGCTGCCCAGCTGCCCAGCTGCCGGGTGGTGCTGGCTGCTGGATTTCCCGATAAGATAGTGGGGTCACGGGTGCCGTGCCGGGAAAGTCATGCAGAACTTCCGTTTCGAAAGGCGAAAATGGGGAGGGGAACATAATTACCCGAGTTCGCTAGGTGCAAGCTCCATTTGAGCTTCCGCTTTGGAGCAAATGCAGCAAATTTACCAATCCCCCGCATATGTGCTCCCGCTCCAAAAATGCATTATTAATTGCTTTGCCTTTGATTTATCTAAGAAGCAGGCTCCAGCCGACCTCAGTGCCGGCCCCCTTATAGCCCCTGAACCCCCAGAACCGCCAGAACCCCCAAAGCCCCATCCCCACAAAACTTATGCAACCCTTGGAGCATTCGCCATAACGCTCCACTCACAATGTTTAATTGTGGAAATGAGAAATATGCGGAAGCGTTGACGATTCCGCTCCAGCGTCTGCTGCACTTGTCGCATCACTTGATGCGCCCAGCCCCATTTTCAGATTCAGTTCCAGTTTCAGCCCGTGTCCGTGTCCATGCACATGCCCCTGCCCCAGCTCCCCATCCTCCACCCAGCCCATCCTGCGTTGCACCCCTCGTTAGCTGGCATGTCAGCGGCATTTTGAAGTCTGCGTGTGCGCTGGAAAAAATAAGTTTGCCTCTTAAAAATAGTCTAAATATTCACAAGTTGTATTAAATAACTGGCTTTTAGCTTCTTACGAACTCTTACAAAAACCATTGTGGTGGGATGATTATGACCATCAAGAACAGCTACTATTCGCACAGTGTAGCCAGCATCTGTGGCTGTCTGTTCCACTCCCACACAAGCGGTCTCGGCACTTGCCGCACTGCCCCGCCCTCCGCCCGCCGCCCTTCGCCCCACCGACTGAATGACACAAAAATATGGGCTTAACCGGAAACGGATGTATTATCTGCGCTAACTGCGCTGCCACACACAACAGTCAGTCAGAGGCAGCCGGGCTGGGCCCAAGCTCGGGATCGGGTCGTGGAACTAATAGAATATTATAAATCGTGCCCCGAGCACGTAGAATGAGCCAACCTGTCCTCTCCACTGACCCACGGATGACGCTGCCCTGCCCGCCCTGCCCTTTCCTCCTCCGAATCTCCGGGCGGTTCTCGTTCGTTACGCTTCTGTGAGCTTTTTGGCTTGTGCTTTTTGCGGCTCCCGAACATTTCGTGTTCGCATGCAAAATCCCAAATGAAGTTAGGGCCGGGAACAGTCGACGGGGAAATGCCGTTAGTTTGTCCGGCTCTGTCTGAGATGGGGCTAGAATGGTGCTGGCCTGGTCCACTGCATACGCTTGCATGTCGCTGTTGTCAAGCACTTGCCAGCGCTTTCACTTTCCTCCCGACCGCTCGGCGTTGGCCCTTTCATCGTTGTCAGTCTGTGGGTGGACAAGCATAAGCCGAAAAGTTATACCATGGTGCATTGACCCGCCCTGAAGAGGCCTTTGTAGAATAGTGAGTAGCTTGTGAATACTGTGAGTATCTGGTCCAAGGCCGAAAACTGCTAGGGAAAAATCAATAAGCCAGGCATATGTATATCTGCAAGTTAGTTTCTCTTTAGCTGCATTTGTTTATTTTCAAAATGTTTTATTAATGTCCGGAGAGCACAGTATCTACCCGTAATGCTGACAACCAACTCAATAATCCAATCACGAGGCCCAGGCGAGTTAATGACTTGATTGGCAACTCAAGGGTTACACTCCTTCGACTGCAAGCGTATCTATTGCACTGAGTGCAGCTGCCAGATAACTGACATTCCCCCGATCGTCTGATGCCCTGGCATTTGCATGTCTTTAGCGGGGATCAAGGATAAGCGGAGCCAGCTGATTGAGATTGAGTCATACCCGGAACAATGCCGTCCAACCGTCAACCAGCAACCATCAAGCATCAAGCGTCTGTGAAAGTGATCGTGATCGAGGCCGCAGATGCGGCAGTAAACACATCTCGGCATCGCCTTTCTGCTGCTCTGCTGCTCTGTATCTTTGTATCCTTGCATCCTTGTATCCTTGTATCCTTGCATCCTTTGCTTTGCGTGTCACTCAGGCGATCAGCAAAACAACAACAAACAATGCAGACAGGGAAAGGAGTAAGCATCCTTTGTGGCTGTTTTGTTAGCTTTGATCGGAGCTACTTAGCATTTTCCTTGCTGGCTTTGCAGTCCCCTTGGAATGCCGCATGCCTCGCTGAGTTTTCCGCCCTGATCGCATGGAATAATACAGCTTAGACTTGGAAAATGGAAAATATTATGCTTGCCATCGCATTTGGTAAGTCACCATAATTATCTCTTACGTGAATCTTAATCTCAGGGCAATTGTAATGCATACAGTGTGCACAAATATTTCCAGTTCGTAATCCAAATTCGCATGATACGTATTGTTTTCGTTTTTCCATACTTTTCGTGGTGTGCCGTAAATATTTTGTCAAAATTTGTAAGTTATTGCCATCCAAGTGCTCCACAGAGAATGTTAGGTGGCAGTTTAGGAAATGACTGTGTCCTCTGGCCCGCTGCCCTCCAGCTGCTCAACTTCCCTTCGCCACAGCAGCAGGAGCAGACTTCAGGACCTCTGGTTCGCTACGAGTATCCTTCGATACCCCAGCTACGCCTAGCTCACCGCAGACTAAGGGCACCGCGTTCGGTTGTGGGAGGCGAAGGAGCCGGAGGACAGGAGACCGGAAATGGCGCCTCATCGAAAGTGATCTTTGTGCGGAGGTGCTACATGATGGCCGGCTTGTACTGCATCAAAGCTGCGCTCCTTGTCATAATTCTGTCCAAGGCCATTCCTCCGGATGCAGATCTCACAATGGCAGGCTTCATTTGCGCAATGGTTTCCCTGATGGTTCTCTTTGTCCTAAGTATTTCGGCCAGGTTGCGGCGGATTTATTGGTTCAGTTTCATCATGGCCGGGTTGTTTGTGAGTCTGGCCGGGTTGGGCGTATCTCTGCTTCTCCTGGAGCGGAATCTTGTCCGGGTGTGCATTGCCCTCCTGGTGGCGTCTGCCATGACTGTGATCTGCTATATCGCTGGCGCATGGCTACCCAAGATGTTCCTACCCGGAGAGAGGACCATGTTCCTCCTGCTCGTCATCTACGCGTTGGCCTCCATCTTTGTGATGACCATGTTAATTTTCACGGACAAGTGGATCTACCAGTTGGCGTACTTCACGCTATTGGCCACTTTGCTAGTACCCGCATCCGTTTATCATGCTCAGGTGGTTCATTCCAGGCGATTCCAGCTGCCCGACTACGAGTTTGTGATTTGTGCCGTCAACGTGTATCTGCACTTTCTGTTGTTCTTTGCGGCCCTCTACTTTGTCATCTGGGCTCCCAAATGGTGAGAGATGCAGGCTGGATACAGGAGTTCCTTGATCGGGAAGATGGCCATGTAGTTCGTCCTACAAGCTAGCTGAGTCTACTGTCTCTGGCTAAATAAAGAATAATTTGTATAGTCATAGAGTTGATATGTGGAGTCGTCAAGCCAAGCAAAGAATATCTCGCCTTGAGTATCAGTAAAATTGTATAGTCAGCAGATATTTCTTGGTAGAAGCGGAATATTTTGTTAAATAAAAATAAAAAAAAGCTGTGCCAATTTGTAAATAAAAGATGTACAAGTAGGAGGTGAGCAGCTCTGCCGGGAGGCAAGTGTCAGGGTGCAGGCCAGACCCAGTCTCAACACTCAGTCCATAAGGATTTCGGCAGGATGGACAACATTTACCACCAGGACAGTGTCCGGCCGACCATCATGGAGCTGGACCCGATGACGCAGTTCATCCGCAGCATCTACAACATCGGTCTGATCCTCGTCGGAGTTACGGTGGCCACATGGCTGCTGCTCCTGCTGACCAATGTTCACCTGCACGAGTACCTTCCGTTTCCCGCCTACGTCCTGGCCATTATCTGCTTCCTGGTAATGATATGCATGCACTGCATCCCGAGTATATCCTACTGCTGCACCTGCAAGTGGTTCATGGTGGCTGTAGTGGTTGTCTGCACCACTTTGTTCGGTTGCTATCTTATCGACAAGTTGAGCACACTCGTCGTCAGCTTCGTGATGATCGGCGTGGCCCTGATCATCGTGATTCTTAACTTTTCGGGGGCTATGTGCCCACAGGAGTTCCTGCCCGGCGGTGTCTGTTCCACGCTGCTAATGATGATCCTGCTGTTGGCGATGGTCATAGTGGGTATCATTCAACTCTGCACCGGGAAGGTGGAGCTGCTCGATGCCTTCGTCAGCATTTTGTTCGTGATGGTGATCATAGCGATCCCCATCCAGGCGCAGTTCAACCACGGTCGCCTGAACATCGTGGAGGTGGTTCCCGAGGAGCACCTCATGGTCTGCACCCTGACCTTGTACCTGCACTCCATGATGTTCTTCTGCTGCGTATGCTACTTCATCCTGGTCGAGGAGAGGAAGGAGGCCATCCGGCGAACAACGGAGGGGCCGGCAATTTCACTCGAAAACGATTTCGATTGAGCGAAATCGCCGTCATCATGTGATCGAAGCTGCTTAGCGATCTGCCGACTGTGTCACTATGCCAAAGGATACCTAGACCAAAGGATACTGCCATCCAGTCTAATCACCTTGCGCGGTACAGAAACTACCGCGTCTCTTTGTAGGGCAATTAAAATAATGCCAGAGCATTACAAAAAGCGTTTACCTCAATTTAGGAAAAACATTCATTTACTTATTAAGGCTTTCAAGCTATCCAGCTATTTCATAGCTATCCAGGATTCCTTTGTCAAAATTGCATTATATTGATCCGAAATCGTTGACTAACACATGAATCTTAACAATGGGCGCTGGGGTCCCAGGAACGGAAGAGCTGCTGGCGGGCCAGATCCTGCGGAGGGACCGGAGGTCTTAGTCATCAACGAGCGGGAGTTGCGGGCCTTTATTTTCCGGGTGTACTCATCCTCCGTAGTGCTGTGTCTCCTTTCAGCCATTCCGTGGATCATACTGTCGGCACTCGGCGTGAAAGTCTCCAAGGACATTCCCGTGCCGTCCTTCGTGTGGCTCATACTGGCTTTCATCATCGTCACGGTGCTCAGCTGCATCCGACAGACTCCGGCACTGACGTTGCTCTGTTGGGGATTGGTGCTGGGATACTTGATCTTTTTCACTCTGTTCGGAGCGTATTTTATGCATCTAATACCCGTCTGGGTCCTCTTGGTGTCCATTCTGGTGGCCGGCTTCCTGCTGGCCCTGCTGCACTTCTACGGGGCCAAAGGTCCGGAGGTTCTGCTACCCAGCATTATATGTACCTGCTGCATTTTACTGCTGCTCTTCATCACCATGTTCGTGCTGGTCATACTCTTCGCGGTCATCAAGGACTTGCGGTACCTACTGGCCCTCAGCATCGTGCTCGTCATCATGATCCTGCTAATGGCTCCCTTCCAGGCTCGCTTCATCTGTGGAAGGCTGCAGCAGGTGCCCTATGGGGAAACTGCGGATTGCGCTTGTGGCATTTACATGCACTTCACTTTCCTGGTCAGCTGCTTGCTCGTCTTTGCCTACTACTATAGGAAAGTTAATGATTGAATCAGTGTGGCTACTGATGTGCGAGTAAACTTAAAATATATTATTAGCGACTATCCTGGGTAAAAACTGATGGGTTTTGAATGTACTAGGAATCCCCAATTTCTTCCAATATTCATCGTATAACACACGTGAATCCAGCACACCCAAGTAGTAAACAGTCTTGGCGAAATGTCGAAATACATGTCGAAGTCAGTTTTTGAAATTTCTGTCTTAAAAATCGGACTCGATGCCTTGTTGTTCGCAAGAGCAAGTGAACACCGAAGAGGAAACAGACAAGGAGTTGCTGGTGTTTATCCGCACTGTCTACATAGAAGCCGTACTACTGTGTTCTGCGTCGACAGTTCCTCTACTGGTCACCTCGTCGCTGAGCATAAGCGTGGTCAAGATCCTGCCGGTTCCGCCGTACGTCTGGCTGCTGATCGCCATCGCACTCCTGGTGTTCCTGATCTGCCTACCCATCCGGCGCACCCGGCCACTGATCGTCTGGACAATGGTCGGCGGAATCGTGTTATTCTCAACGCTGACCGCCGCATGCTTTATGTCCATCTTTGACATTCCCGACTTGGTGCTCTACTTCTTCATTATGCTACTGGTGGTGGGCGGACTGATGGTCTGTGGAGCCAAGTGCCGGAAATCGTGTCTGCCCAATGGCCTCGTCACCGGAGTGATTGTGACCCTCTGCCTGGCCGCGCTCCTGCCGCTCAGCTTTTTGTCGCTTTTGTCCATCCGATACTTCTTTGCGAGCTTCTGCGCCATCCTGTGCATCCTGGTGATGACAGTCATCCCCATGCACGCCCAGTTCATCCACGGACGATTGCAGTACTCCCCAATTGGCCTGGAAGCCATCTGCTCCACTCTGATCTACCTTTGCACATTTACCGTGTTCTTCTGCATCTGCGTGTTTTCTTGTACCATTGACTCGCAGATTAATGGACCTTTAAATTATCATTTAGCAGCCCTGTCTACTATTCCTATATAAATTGTTATATCTTCTGCAGTGTGCTACTGCTTACCAGATAAGCTTGTGAATCGATCAAGATACCTCAGTAGAAACTTTTCGGACTTCAGCTTTTGAAACTTTTGGGTAACAACGTCAAAAAATAGCACTGTTCACTGTTACTTGTCCAATGCAAAGTATTACCAAAAACACGTTTCGGGCCACCGATCAGGAGGTTTATGGCGTACCGCCGGATCAGAGCATCAGTCATGCGGCCAAGATATACGGACTCAGCGTGATCCTGGCCGCCATCGCATTGACGCAGTGGATCATCATAGGCTCCACCCATTTGCTGAGCCACAGCCGGTCGGAGGAGCGCTACGGCTGGTGGCTACTGTGCACCTTCTTCGCAGTGGCCACTCTATCCTGGACCAAGCTGGGACGGAAGGTGCCCTTCAACTACATCATTATCGCGGCGATCGTGGAGAGCTCGACCATATATATAGCCATGGAGCAGAGGCACAATGCGAATAGTCTGGTCAACTTCTATGCCGGCATTGTGGTGGTTGCCTTGATGTTGGCCTCGATATTTTGGGGCGCCTACTTTCCCATGTTCATTGTGCCCGGCGATCTGCTGCTCAGCTGTCTGGTGGCCATAGCCAACATTATGATGATCATATTCTTCATCAATGTCCTTTTCATCAACTACCAGGGAATATACATTGCGGTTCGGAACACCTTCGCCCTGGTGGCCATCTGCATGGTCATGTACACGGCTACCATCATTCACGATCGCCAGTTCGATGTGCCCAAGAACGAGTATCTGTTCCTCAGTGTCCTGCAGTTCTTCTCCTACATGATCCTGCACGAACGCATCCTGGCCATATCCTTTACAAGTACGCTAAACATCAGTTGCTAAGTGCAAGTCTCTCTTGGCAGTCGCATGGAATTTGGAATGTCTTAAAATTTTGGTTAATTAAGTTGCTAAATAACCTGTATCGAAGCTAGACTCATCGACGCGGAAGATAACTTGAACAGCTAATTTTGGTATTTTTGCATTACTGCGCATATGGTTATTGTATTGTTCTGATCGAAATTTTCGGCTCATTGTTTTGGGTCTACGGACAGAGTTCCTTGGCATGCGCCAGATCCGAACAATGGGGGATTGTCTGTTAGTGAAATAAATAAACAGCCCGCTAAATTGGCACTGCAACGTGCCTCAATTTTAGTGGGGCGTGTGTGGTGATGCCTTTCATTCACTGCACATGTGAATCAGCCAGCTTTATTGAGTTGGCAAACAGCGAACAGGAGATTTCGAAACCGGATTCATATTTGCAATAAATTTCGTTCAAATAGATTTAAACATATATTTCTTAAGATTTGTGTAAATAAGGTTCCACCCGAAGCAGCTTCCTTTGTTAGGAAATTGAATCACTTAGGCGTGAAGAATAGCAAATCCTCTGGAATTCCGTGTGTCCGAGATCATAACCATCCCCGTGCAGCTTTAATAAGAAACTCGCGCATCGATTTGGACTGGATTAATCCGGGCCGGGGTAGACGTAACTCTCATACGAAATTTACATAAGGAATCCTCTATTCCACGCCGTCCATTTGATAAGCTGCCGTAACACAAGAAGTGCCACCGGAAACAGGATTAATCGAGCGGGGTACTGGACTGTCCAAGACCAAACAAAGCGGCAGCTGGACGAGACAAAGGATCGCGAGTCCCTCGACAATGCAATATCCACTTAAGGTCCAAGCGAGGCGAGAGGAAACTCGTTATGAGTCACACAAATCTCAAGCTTCGCGGCGAGGGTCTCCGATCCAGATCCAGATCCAGATCTACCAAGTATCTGCCGTATCTTTCGGAAGTTGCAACCCTTTTATTCGAAGGCGTCGCGGTCAGTCGCGAAAACAATCAGCGGCCATAAATGTTGATTATCGGGATGATAGTGTGCATAGCGATGGTGATGATGATGATGATCAACGGCTGCCACCACCATGAACACTGCGAGAAATAATGCTGGGGTTTGTAGGGGAGTAAGTATGCAACATATATTCTTTAGAAAATAGGGAAGAATGTTTAGTATTCAAATAAATGTAATTTCTGCAAACAATTTCTAAGCATAATTTTTATTTATTTATATATTAATTTGATTAATGGAATATAAGCTCTACATATTTATCCAAGTGCACTCGCGCGCAGCAGCTTTCGCTGCCAGCATCTGGACCGAGCTGCGCCTAACTGACCTGAGCTAGTTACCTTTCGGAAAAATCTTACACGAAAATCGTGGGAAAATTCCGAAAAGCGCATATCGAATGCAATTAAAGGCTCGCGACGTCTCGCGGTGGTTACTTTGCCACCCGAAACCCAATCCCAGTTTTCCGATGGCCAGGGGTTGTTAATGCGCGCGGAAAACTTGCGCGCTTTCCAAACTCTCATTTTCACCCTCAAAAGGTACGAGTGGAAAGTGGGGAAAAGGGAATAATTCCGCTTGTTGCGTGGTCAGCTTGTGATTTACCTTTCCGGTGACAAAAAAATATATATAAAAAAAATTAAATACGCGGAAGCATTGAAAATCGAGCCGAGAGAAGGGGGCTCGACTTTTCCGCCCAACGACTGCTAACTGCTAACGACTTTGGTAGGCGGTTGGTTGTGTGTGCCTTAACGTGGGAAAGCGGGACTTCAGTGTCAACTGGTAGCTGGCTATCGAAGGCTTTCGCATAATTAAATGCAACGAAATGTGGCAGCAGCAGTTTGATTTCTCTCCCAGATAACTCAGCCCAGGGTGGTGGAATTCGACATAATCGCTTACATTAGGTCCTGGTCCTAATGGCCAACGAAAACTAGTCGCTGGAGGTTATGGGTTACCATAAATACGTTTGTTGGGTTAGTATCTTCATGCGGCAGGAAACTGGTTATCTAGAGTCCCCAGAATAAATATTAAGAAACCAATTTGTGATTCTTGTGCAGTGGCTTTTAGTCTCAGCAACTGCAGTTATCGTAAAGGCCTTCCAATTGAAGATTTTAAATAAAGACACTTTATTTTACTTCATTATATTTTCCACACTGCCGAATTTATTAATAATTTAATTTATAATTCGCTTGGATCCTTAAAACTTGCATCTTAAGTTAAATTCGCAGACTTCTTTTGACCTTTTTTTGGATTCCTCTGCGATTCGCTTTAATGCAGGCATCTCGAGATGTTTGGTTCTTGAGAGGATTTGTGGGGGGAAATACCAGAACCAATGGCCAATAACTCGGTGTCATCAGCATATCTTCGTTTCGCTGCGTTCCGTGGCTTAATGCGAAATAATTACAACTTGTTCGCACATCATTCAGCACAAGCTGAAAAAAATGATCTGTCAGCTCGACGTCCCCTTCATTTGTTTGCCCAATGACGAATGTGACCCTCCAGTGACGAACGATGGCGATGGCGATGGTGATGATGATGATGATGAAAACTTGAAAACGACACTTGCCTTATTTGCTTTTTGAGTATTTTTTACTTTTGCAAAAAAACAACTCTTGTGGGCGCGTCGGTAAAATTTCAAAGTCGGCATCATTAACACCAATGCGCCATTTTGGTATTTCGATGTCGATGAGTTGTTGAGTGCTGATGGTGATTGATGTAACTTTTGAGCCAGCCAGCCAGTCAGCCAGCCAGCTCTATAATCGCACCACTTGGAACCCGATCTGGAGTGAGTGTACCAAATTGGTAGCTTGCTGGCAACCCAACCCATTCCCGGCCAGCTCATCCGCCCTCCTCCCAGAAACCCTTGGGCTGTATATTTGTTGTTTTAGTCCGTAGTCCCAGAGCCGCGTTCCCCCGGCCTATGCTAATTTGTTATTTTAAGCATGTTTGTTTGCCTACAGCCCTCCAGTCTACCAGTCCTCCAGTTCACCAGTCCGCCAATCCTCCGGCTCTGCAGTTCCGGACCAAAATATTGACAAATGCAACGGGCAGCGGAAGGGCGCGGATGTGGTTGTGTCTGCACCTGAGGCGAAATATACTCTGCAACAAATAACAAACAAGTAAACCAATTAAAGCAAAAGATACAATTTGAATGCGTAATGGACTTGGCAAAGGCGAGTCCGTGCTTAAAACTGCATTTGAAACACATTTAGTCGAAATTCTCACTTGGTACAGGGCGTGCAGGAATACTCTCAAGGGTGGTAATCGAAAAACCTAAGTAAATTAATAGTCAAGTAATTAGGTAAAAAACGTACTTCAGCATTTTGCATGTTAACCTTTAGGACAACTTTAAGCACCTTTAGAGGTTTCCTGGGACAATGGCAATTAAATGAACTCTGTATAAAGCAGATTAATTGGAAAATAATTTCGACAATTGAGGGAGAAGATAAAGGGGTAGCTCAATAGCACCCAAGAGGTGTTTCCAACTTTTACCACTTACCACGGGCACTTTTGAACGAGATCCTCAATAGCCTCATTAACCCACTTTCGAAGTCTGTGGCTTTGACATGCCTAATCTGGTTATGTCCAGACCGCGCTGGTCCGGTCGTATTCCGGTATAAAAATCACCCAAAAATCACTCAGCCCGAGAAGGGATAACAAGTTCTAACCCCAAATGAACTATAACTCAACGCACTAATTACGTGAGAGACAAAGGTGGTTGGGTCTAACCAAATGGCAATTGCACACTGACTTCATCACCGGGCCCAAAACCAGATCTCGGCATATTCAATTACCGCAAATTTGTCGGCAGAGCATAAATGCAATAATTAAGAATCAAGTTGCCAGCCAAGTGGACCAGATCAGACACTCGTAAGCCGACCCTCAAAGGTTCCTCCACACATACCCGTACATGCGAGTATTCTTCTGCCTTTTGGGGTGAAGTGATACATTCGCACAACTTCCGCTGAAAGTCATGTAACTTCTTTCTGGTTACGCTTGAGAAACCCCTGCAGTTGACACTGAGACCGGCAGGAGTAACTGAAAACTCAGAAACTCAGAAACTCAAAAACTAACCCAAATGGGTTTCGGAAGCTGCGGTCGACCGAACCTCAGACTTCCCTACGGAGGGTAGGCCGCTCCTTGGGCTTTGTTTTAGTGGTGGACGCATTTAAATGTCTTTCCAATTTGTACGTTCCGTGGGTCGGTCCGTCCCATATCCCATATCCTTATCACGGCCTGGAGTGGCACTCGTGAGAGAATTCCCAGCTCGGCAGACCTCGAATCGCTCGACTGACTGCTCCGGGAACCCCCTGATTTCGACTCGAATGTGACACCACCTCAGCGGGCATTCGGTTCTGTGGACTTTAATTATGGGTGACAATGGGCTGCGGAATTGATTTTCGATATTTGATCATTCGCTGCGGTTAGTTAACGCTCTTTAGCGATGAAAGCGCGACAACCGCAGGCGCTGCAAAACGGGAACGGCAATGGGAATGGAAATGGAAATGGGATTGGGATTGGGATTGGGAATGGGGTGGCAGGGGACTCAGATGTCGCAGATGGAATTACGCCAAATGAGGCGAGTGCAGCACTTGAGGTGCACTTTTTATACTTTTTTTAACCCCGGTCAGGCACGATTTGTTACGGTTAAATAGCTAAGAAAAATGGTTAGAGTCTCGATTGATGAATTTAGCTTTGAGTAAAATAACATTTTGACGTTTAGGAAATTATTGAAACTTGAGTGGAAACCATTCCGCACACAAGCCTCGATAACCAAATTAAAAATGGAAATATTACTGCCAGCTATCAAAAATGTCTAGGAATGTAAGCAGCATTTAGCGCCAACTGATCGGACATTTACAGAATTCTTTCCACTTGGCCAGAGTCCATTTTCAAGCGGCTTAGTGCGGTTCGTGGAAAATGCTGCAGACGCCATTCCGTCTAAGAACTTCCACTTGGCCAAATGCCCGATTCAGGTAACTGAACATTGAACATTTCCCATTGCCCCCCGCAGAAGCAGAAGCGACCCTCAACTCTACCTGTTTGCTGAGGCCGTGAAACGCCTAAAACTAATTGAGACCGCCCTCATTGAATAATTTCCGAAGATTTTTCTTTCCTTTTTCTG